AGTTTAGCTTATAACAATATCATACAGGGAAAAACAAAGTTTGTGTGTTGTACTTGCATGTCCGATGTATCGGAATGTATGTTTCTGATTTCCTGCTGTGTGTGTGTGTGTGTGTATATGTGTGTTTAAAATGCCCTTGTGGTTGAGCCAGAAATATCCGCAGGCGGCCAAATCTGGCACTGATCCTTGGCTTGTACCCTCTGAGGCAGCGCTGCAACACGCACACGCACACACACCGCACACAACACCGCACACACACGCAACCCAGAGACACACTTTGATTTGCACCATCTCGTTTGAAGTGCGAGACCCAGAGCCTGGCAGCTTATGATTAATATAAGCCCCCGCCCTCTGCCCCTTTCAGCCGTGTGTGCATGCAAACACACACACGTCCACAAAGAGATACATTAGTTGTTTTCATGCTGTACTGTACACACACTCCCTCTGTATGACACACATTCCTGCTCTGCCTTCAGGGGCTAAACAGCTGGTTGATTCTTTGAACTGCAGATTCTGACAGTGTGCAGCCACAGCAAGGGCACCTCTGTATAGAGACATCCCATCATCTTCCTCCTAGTCCTTCCCTCTCCTCCCTTGCTCATCACTTTGTCTGATCGTCACCTGTCGTGTCCTCGGCTGACCAGGTCAAAACATTTGACCATCATGTCTCATGAGGATTTCCAGGGCGGAAATCGAATCTCTGTGGGGCTTTTTGGATTTGGATTTCCGATTGATCTGCTGAAAAGAAAATTCCCAGAATTCCACATGAGGAGAAAAAAAAACTAGGTTATAGCTAATGGGCTTTGGCTTAAGCTCAGGATTTTATGCCAATTAAAATAAAGTGCTGGATAATTTATCAATTTGGCCTCCAAAGGAAATAATTTTGTCTACTTAAGAAAAACCTCAGTCATTTTTAGATAGTTATTCATGTGCCGTGTATGAGCCAGGATTGTCAAGGGGATCAAAAAAAATACTGCAAAATAGATAACAGGCATGAATTTTTATGATTAGATCTTTGTAATTATGTTTTATTCTTATTAAAAATCTCAGGGCAAAAGTACTTCCTATTGATCACACTTAAAGTGAGGTACAAACTTAACCTCTATCTAGAAAACCACACTAGTTCCCTACATTTTCATTTAGTGATGATCACTAATTACCTGGATATTTAAATATACATTCTGAACTGTACATCCAAAAATAATGAACTGATTATGAAGTCCACCTCTGTTTAATTATTATTATTTTTTTATACTTTATTTTTCATTTTTGTTTCACAAAAAAACACAGAACAAGTGAGGACTTGGGCAGTAGACAGTATGAATAAGATCAAATACAAGAATGTAAAAGGCACAAGTACAGTATTATGGATGGTACATTCTAATGAAAAAATATATATTTACAAGTCTTTATCTTTGTATAAATCCCACTTTCTCCAATATTCTTCTCCCTTCTCCTTTTGAAGTCGCAGGACAAAAGGCATTTTTTCCATAAAGCTGATGGAATTCACAATGTTCTTCAGAAGTCTCATGGTAGGAGGGTTCCTCTGAAGCCAACATTTAGTAATCGCTTTTTTACTTGCCACCATAAGAATCTTTAAAAGGTATATGTTCTTTTTACCAAGACCTTCTGGAATTTTCCCGAGGTAGAGGGATGTGAAAGAGAAATCCAGTGTAATGTTCAGAGTCTCTGCGATTAATAGTTTCACATCTTTCCAGAAGGGCTCAAGACGTGGACAAGACCAAAAAAACATGTTCACAGTCTGCCGAGACCACTCCACACTCCCTCCAGCATGAGGCTGGAGAACCACTTATTTTTGACTTCTGATTTGGAGTAATAAAAAATCGTATCAGATTTTTTCCAGCAGAAGTCTCGCCAAAAAAAAAGAATTTGTTGAAGTGAATTGAACCTCTGTTTAATTTTAAACCAAATAAGTTATGTCAGACATGTAGAGCTGTATAAATCCAACATGTCCGTCTTGACAGCTCACAGACAGTCACCCTTTTAGCGTCTACTACAGAATACAAGGTTTCCTTTCAAGATCGATATTGAATGTTAACACTAAATCAGTTATAGACTGACGGACTCGTCTGTCTGTTGCTCTTTAGGAACAGTAAGAGACCAAATCCCTGCTCTCTAAAGAGAGGTATTTGAATCCTCAAAAATCTATTCTTGGCAGAGTTCAGATGCTGGCTTACCACCAGTTTGATTTGGCTAACTTGATACCGCTACTTTAATCTAACATGGTGAAAGCATTGACATGTTCAGTCCTCCATTTGTGCTCGTTCAGACTCTGTAATGACAAATAAGTAGATTTTCCCATTGTTACACATGGCACACACTAACTGCAGTTTGTTTATCTAATCCGTGCATGAATAGGCTTTGTGTAGCAAGTGGAGCATGAACTGTTATGTGGCTATTATAGACAGCTGAGTTGATCTTAAATCTCAACACATCTGTTCCATTTAGACATCTGTGAAACTTGGGACAGAAACCATTTAAGCACAACTTAAAAATCAAAGATAAAATAGGGAATTGAGTGGTCGTAGTGAGACATATTTCTGAGAGTGAAGGGAGATGTTGCTGCAATGACACGCTCAAGCTCAAACCTTGTATCCAAAATATCATTTATATCAAATAGATATCACTTATTCTGTCCCGCTCTGCTGCACTTGCCCCACAGGAACTATTTAAGTTCCTAGAACCCTGTTTCAAGGAACCTTTTTAGCTCCTGCTTCAGAGTAGGTACCATGGCGGTTCAAATGTAGACAGAAGAAAACATCCTCAGGCTGTGTAGCTCTCAGGGAACTCCCTAGTGGATAGTTCCTCCTCCAAAAAGTCCCCAGAACTGTCTGGCCCAGAAACAACTATCATCATGGCTTGAGGCCAACTGCAAAAGCATCAGAAGTTGCATACACACCCGTTCAAAAAAAGCCAGTTTTTACAGCAGAACTTAACATGTTACCGCCTGATTTGAAAAAGGTCTTGATCGGCATATGCTGTACAGGGGCTGAATTTTTTAAGGATAAGTGCTATGTAACAGTTTGTCAAGAGACTTAAAACCAGCTGTTAACTTGTCGATAGGTAGACTGAAAGTTAGGTTGAAACAGCAAGCAATCGGTGGGACTACAAAGCCCCCCTGCAGTAACAGATGGGTAACGTTACTCAGGCTTTGAATCGTGGAGATGCGTTATGATTTGCAGTGCAGTTGCACATTTTGAGTCATCATGATTAGCTGAGGAGTAGAAAAGTTATGTTATAAATATCTCTCCTATCTGTGACAAAAATCTGTGACCCTGTCTGACCCGTGACTATTCTGATCCGTTGCACCACTGCTAATAATAGTGAACAAGGCTATAAATGATATAAAGAGAGGAGCAACATATGCAAGAGGCCTTGTTCAGCATCAGACGATCTAATTGGCACCTGTCAGAGAACCTGCATTATTGATGCCTCTGTTGACATGATGAGCCCTTCTGTCAGCTTTTTGAAGGGAGGAGATGTTTCTGACTTTCATTTTTCTCACAGTATATTTCTCACTCAACTCTCTTTTTTTTTTCTCCTTTTCCTCTTCCAGTGTGCCTCAAGGTCCCATCACACATCCCCCGCTCCTTTCTAGTTTTATATAACAGAGTTTTCAAACTTGTCAAAGAGCTGTGATTGGACTAACAATCCTCAGCGAAGGCCCTTCCACCAGCTTAGTGCGGCGATTTTTTTTTTTTCTTTCCCTTGGTGGTGGTATCATTCTGTCTCTTCTTTTTTAGTCCCTTGTTTTCATTCCTCTCCCTCTCCCCTGTCGTGCCTCTGCGGGAGTCTGTTATGGATGTCTGTATAGTTAAGGCGCAGGGCTGATCTGCGAGGCCAGCTTTGCCAGGAGTTGGTGTGGTATCTGAAGACTTCATTATCAGGAGGGAAATCTGGTGTCTCTGTCCTTCCAATCGCCTCCGCTATCACTCCCTCTTCCTCTCTCTCTGTCTCTCTTTCTGTCTTTGTACGTTTCATTTTCTTTCTTCCTCTCGACACCACTCAGCAGGGCGCCATTAGCCATTCAGCACAGGGAGGCCTTGAGGAATTGAAAGCGACAGAGCAGAAAAAGAATAGAAAAAACTGAAACGGGGAAAGGAGACAGGGGAATTGAGAGAAAGCAGGGGGGGGGGGGTAGGGAGGCAGGGCGAGGGCAGGAGGAGATGGAGAGAGGTGTTAAGGCGGGAGCAAAACCAGACAGGGAACCCTGGCTCACGGGAGATGTGTGTGTGGGGGGGGGATTAGGGATTAAGGAAGAAGACGGGGAAAAGGAACAGATTTCCATGGCGATGAAGAGAGAAATCAGAGGAATGACAGGATGCAAGGGTTGGAAATATGGGCAGGATGAGATTGGAGTTTGAAAGCTGGCTGAAAAAGTGCAAAAGGAAAAGTGTGGCCCAGACTTAGAGGAAGAGGTGGGGAGAGATAGAGATGCACAATGCATGCACAAGGTATGCTAATGATAGACATTTGAATTATGAATGAGATTAATTACATAGGCACATCTGAATTTATTCACATTTTTCCTTCTCTTACTTCACCCCAGACACTTTTAAATGGTAATTCCTTTCTTTTGGCATATGCACACCTTTTTTTTTTCTTGCGCTCCCTTCTTGTCTTCTTTGTCCTCATCCTCCCCGTTATCTCTCCATTAGTTTCCTCTCTGACACAATGAAGCATCTGTTGAATAAGTGCTACTTAGTTCCATCAACACAACTTAGCCCAATGAATCGGACTGTCATCCGACTCCCATTCTCCCAATCATATGTCTTTACACACACACGCTCACACGCGCTATCGTCATTAGCTGGCTAATGTCTGGAGTGCTTAGCATGACTTACGAGCCGCTAGGATGAGCCGCAGAGATGATTTGCTCTCTTTATGGGGTGTTTGTGCCGTGCTATTTTTTGCTGTGATTAGCATTTTGCATTTCCTGCTTTGTGACAAAAAAAAAAATGAATGTGTTCTCCCCTCAGGTCCTGGCAACATGGAGGCTGTATCTCTTCGCTGTCAAAGTGCCCACCAAGGTAAATGTTCCCCCACGCTCTCAGTGGAATTTTTACGGCTTTCACTTGCCAGCTTTGATCTCACGGTGAAATCGCAAGAGATGTGACAAAGAAAGTAGCAGACTTTCAGAGCAGGAGTGAGGACATGACAATGATGGCTGTGGTGATGTTGTAGAGTGATAAGAGTGATGACAACCATTACAATGGAGACGACGAGGTGGCAGGGGGAATGAAGTTAGTGAAGCAATAGTTTGACTTTTTGGGAAACACACTTCTTGTCCTCATTCTTTCTTGGCAAGAGTTTGATGCAAAAATAAAGACCACTCTTGATTCCAACACCCCACCCCTCTGCATGAATAAATGTATTTCCCAAATCGTCTGTTCCATACTTTTCGATACCACCTGTTTCAAAAGACTATCTTTTGTTATTTAATGATCCTTTGAATGCCAAAGTGCTGAAGCTTTAAAACAACTGCAGCTCTTCAGTCACATTATTAAACTAAAGCTGCAATGAGCCAAAGAGAGAGAGCACTGTCTAAATTGTGCAAATAAGTTGGCAATGTATTTGCAGAATTTAAACAGTGTGCCCAGTTTTTTCTCCCACTATTAAGGGCTGAGGACTTACATTTAGTTGCTGTGGTATCCAGACAGGTTTTGATATCATTTGATTCTTGCTAGTATCATATCTAAGTTTAAAATTCTGGAGTAGTAACAACCCTACTAACTTCATCTTATAAGACAAGCTTATTGTAGTTTCTGCCTTCAGATTTGAGTCGATCTCTTCCATCTGATCGGAAACAATTTGGAACAATTCCATCATTTTTCATACAGTGTCAAGTAACAACAGAAGTTATCTTATAACAGTTTGAATGTTAGACAGCTCCTAAAAACAGCTTTTATAATATTCTGTCCATAAAGTCAACTTAATTCACCATCTACCAAATCACCGTGAGCAGAAAGTTTGACAAAAAGTTCAGGAATGATTTTCTCTTCTAGACTCAGCATTAGCTTCTCCCTGTCAGCAAGAGGTCTGCAGGTCCATAAGACCCATGGAGCATTAACGTGGCTAACATTAGATTTCAGCTCTTCCTCATTTGAACATGCAGTACCTTAAAATAAATTACAGCTTTATAGCTCCCATGGGTTGTTTACCTACTCTGTCAGTAGCTAGATAAGAAAGTGAACAAGCAAATAGTTGGAAAAGAAACGGTGCTAATCCAAACAGTTGTGAATACTCAATAAAAAACAGGTTTCTCAGTACTCAGTGTTTGATGTTTACAACAAACAGAGTAATAAGTTCACTGTTAGTCTTCATTTTCTCCATCCTCAGGATTTGATTCAAATATTTATGATGTTCGGACAGCTCAAGTGTTTGGCCCAATCTGATTTTTTTTTTTTAATGTGATGTTTCTGCTTTCCCAGTTCTCAGCTGTGACTTCATTGTGATCTTAACACAAAGCAGACAGAACAGTAAAGTTGATGCAGTAACATGTTACTGATGATTTCAGGTGGAGGTCACCTTCAACTTCTTGGAAATCCGAGCAATGAACACCTATCAAGAATACCAGGTGACAGCTGAATTTGAACTCTTTACCTTTGGATTTAACAACTACATAACACACCACTATTGACAAACTGCCGTGTCTATTTGCAGGTTATCATCGATACAGACAAGACTACCTATTCCCTAAGATTGCAGACCCAGGACCAGCTGGATCACGTGGTCAGCCACATCAACTATGCCCTCTCCCGAGTCTTCAACAACTCCATTTATGCGTAAGCATCTCCCAGCAGCCTCCCCTCTAGCAGAGAAACAAGTCTTTTGTTTAGTTGTTGTGTGTGCTGAGGAGCGAAGACGAGTTGGCCGATGTTAACAACACTCGACAGTGCGTTGGCAAGTTGGCAGCTTCACTTTGGGGCAGCTTTCCTCCTCAGCAGCCAAACGCATTCTCGTATTGCTGTAGTAGTTTGCATCCAACCCATTTCTGTGTCAGGGTAGACTTTAACACCCAGCAATCACCAGGATTAAATCAGCCATCTGACACTGAGTAGGCTGTTACCTGAAGGCATTGTGTTGCCTTTTTTTTTCCTTTTTAAAGCAGCTTATTTAGAATAAGCATCGAGTAACAGAACACACAGACACTTATGGAGCGATAGACTCCGGCCTCTAGTCAAAAAGCCATTCTTCCGCAGTAGTTCGTCCTTTGCATTCTCTAAGGACGACACGGGCGAAAGAAAAGCCTGATAAGAGTTTAAGTCAAACCCTGGACATGTTTGTCCCACGGTCATGTGAATGTATGGGTGAGCAGAAAAGCCAACAGAGTTTATCCTCCTCTCTCTCTCTCGGGTCTCATCTTCAATTTGTAAGAGCAGTGGGATTGACCGTGCTCCGACAATTGACCTACACAAGGCTATCACCGCACTCTATCATCTCTCCGAATGGCTCTTTTCCATTAGGGCCAAAGCGGATGATTGCTTCCAGTGAGAACATTTAAAGAGAATAAAGACTGTGTATGTGTGTGTTTGTCTGCTGGAGATAGGGTGTGTAGATGGAGGACCATTGTTGCGGGTTTATTGTGCAGCCTTGTAACTGATTGGTGCCGCTGTATCAGAGTACATAATGCAGATAGTATCAGGACAACGTTCACATACACAGGCTCCACTGGCGGATGATGATTGTGGAGATAAGGTGGGGATTAAGGTCATGGATGTGGTTAGGTGTTATGTATGATTTCTTGACAAATGGGATTAAGGATAGTGTGTGTGTGTGTGTGTGTGTGTGTGTGTGTGTGTGTCTGTCTGTCTGTGTGTAGAATGAAACAGTATAGTGTTGTAATCCTATCAAAAAGCCAAAGCAGGTACAGCCCAGTATTATGTACAAAAACAGTATTTACTTTGTGATCCCAGTCTGTTGTCTTTTCTGTTTACTGGACAGTTTTTATCAAAGAGATATTTGAAGTAGAGCAACCTTTAAGCCTGGGAATATTTATCTGTTTTCATGTAATACAAGCAGCAGCATCAGACATTATCACAGGGCTACAGTTTACCGTTGTTCCAAGTGAATGGCATAAGCAGTTTTAGAGCCTGACCAGTTAATCGGCCAGCCGCTATTATCAGCTGATTTTAGCATAGCAAGTGACTCTTGGTATTGGCTAATTGTATCACAGATATGCTCTGATATCACTAGTCAAATAACATTTCATTTGAGTTTCATTGTATCCCGCTAGCAGTTCTCTTTCTGGCTGTCACCAGCAGAGTGTGCTGTATTGATTACATCATTATCAAGCAGTGATGCATGTACATGCGCAGTTACTTTCCATTTGAGTTACCATCTTGTCTTCATTATATATCATTAGCACATGTGTATGATAACTGCATTTGAGGGATATCTATATCTATCTATCTTTAGCGACCTAAGAAAGATATTGGGCGATATATTGGTAACAGATTTTTTTCACTTCCTAATATCGATATTGGCCCTAAAAATCTAATATCGGTCGGGCTCTAGTTTTGTCGTTGATGTGATGCGACATGATATGATTCAATATGATGTGATATGATATATGATTCGATAATATACGACCAGCTCTGTACTGTATGGAATAGAACGGTATGGTAATATATCCGGGTACAGTACCGCACATGGTACATGGCCCATGATAAGGATAATATGATGATACAGGGATTGTGGGATCATTTATATATTGCCTATAGACTATCACACATCTCGATATTTGAAGTACTGATATGCAAATACAAAATTCCCCAAAAAAGTGCAGGATTCATTTATCGGTTCACTGCAATTTGGTGTCAGTTTCACCTTCTATCATGCTTCATCCTTGAACTTCTTTTTGCCGCTGCATGAAGTTATACCGCTGTCGTCTTCTTTTATCCTGCTGTCATCTTCACGGTGCTCTCGTTTATGTCAGAAGTGCCACCGTGAGGAAACATGAAGTAGACATGACGCGGCGGTGAGTCAGTTCGGCAGCTCACAAAATCAGTTTAGAACGCTGATTGTTGTTTCTGTTTTTTTTTTTCAATTCAAATATTAACATTTTGCAGCAGCAATTTGATTATTGTTCCACATGAGTATTGATATTTTGTTCCACCCTTGGCAATAACAAACGATAAACAAGTTAGCTGCAAGCTAGCGTCCTGCCAACGCAGATAAGATTATGTTGTCATATTGAAAAAATATTATGCAACTGTCCTTTGTTTTTTATACAGAGGCTAAATCTGGTTCTGAATCTTGTTAAGACCCTTCTGGTAGCCTCGTTCATTAAGCTGTCTGAAAATATATATATATTTAGAACCTGCAGGAGGATTCTTTGCAGGGAATGGGGGGGTTGTACTCGGCCTTGCACCAATATCCTGTCCCTTGGGCTCTGAACAGCTCCACTTAATGCAGCTGGGAGTTCAGTGCCTTGCTAAAGGGCGCTTCAGAGGTAGCAGCCAAGGGAGGAGAAGCTTAATATTTACCATCTTTATTCCCCCCCTGCAGTAATTGGGATCAGAGTTATTCTAATCAAACATTGCTTTCATCTGAAATCAAATAAAGTGGCCATCCTGAAAATATAGATATTAAAGACGATACATTATCAGTCATGCCAGCAGAGTGGCTCTGAGGCTTTTACTGTCAGTCTGTCAGGTCTGTCCACTTTGGTGATCTGGTGACTTTTATTCTGTTAGTGCACTGGTTTTCAAAGGCTGACACTGTGGGCCACCCCTCAGGCTAAATCGAGACAGCTGCTTCTGCTGCTGACTATGAGTTAGCATCACGTTCCTAAACTCCTCCACAGACCCTCTCCCCTTCTCTCCTGCAATGCTTACTGTATATTGCCTGCTGTATTGTATGTAGTTTTATTACAAACATGAACTATTTGTTAACAGTACTGCTGCAAAAGCTGATCTTGTTTATAAGGTGGCCATGTCAGCAGGCAAAACTACAACAACTTCCTGCTGTTATCAGAACGTCAGCACTTAAATATTCATTCCACTTTAAGCAGCATCTTTGCATCACATCTCTTCCCCAAGCAGGGACATTCAGAACAAAGATGGAAATCTGATCGAATCAATGATCCTGTAAGCCGTTCAAAATTGTTATTAGTCCATTTTGTTTAGTGATGGCATAACTATCATTCTGCCCGTCTCATCTGTTTCAGCTGTGCTCCTGCAACACATCTCTAACCCCTCTCCACTCGCATTCGCACGAAGGACTTATATTAGAACGCACTATAACTAAGCGCCATTAAGAGCGAGCGGCGGACAAAAATGTCCTTTGCTCGAGCTGCAATTGTCTGTGTCCTGCGTTGTTGTGTTGCAGGCTAATGTTAGCGCACTTTGGTTAACTCATGTCTTCATATTGCACATAAATTGACACAGAATGACCGCCATCTAAAAACACATATGTGACATCCAAATAAGCCGTGAGTATGTTATTCTTCAATTCTCTAGTCCATGACTAAAACAACTTTGTACACAAGGCCGGGACGCCATGTAAACATGCTGTTAACAAGTGTCCGACAACAGTAGCTGGCGGGACTCACACTTCTCTCTCATTGTAGACAGTCATGACTCAGAGAGACATTTACAGGATATACTGGATATACAGGATTTCTGCTGTTTTTATGTTTAAAATATCACACATCTTCCTTTAAGCTCAACCACGGCTTGGAACAGCTTTAAGGAGTTGACGGTTGACTCTTCTCTGTTTGAACCTCCTCTCTTCCTCCTTTTATTTCAGTCCTCCTATTTGTCGAGCAGAGGGAGACCTGACTGATGGAAGTCACAAGTTTTCACCCAACACTGAATCCTCAGTAGATCCCCAGAAAACGTGCGGTAAGTCTGCTATGTTTCTGCCAACATGTCAGCAAACAGACATCGGTACAGTTGAGTCAGAGTCCGTTACACTGACTCACACCAAATCATTTTGGAGACTAATCTTTAAGTGGGTCAGAAGACCAAAGTTGCTGGAATCACTCTCTTTCTGCTAGTAATCCCATTAATCTACAAGAAGAGCTGTTTCATGGTGCAATACTTTCATCTCACTCTCTCTCTCTCTCTCTCTCTCTCTCTCTCTCTCTCTCTCTCTCTCTCTCTCTCTCTCTCTCTCTCTCTCTCTCTCTCTCTCTCTCTCTCTGCTGACTATCTGTTACTCGTTTCTTCCCTGATTTTTTCTTTCATCTCAGCCCACACTCGTTCTCCACATCCCTTTAAAATCCTCTTCCCTGCTTCATTCCTTCTTCCTTGTTATTTCTGAACTGTTATGGTCTGGTCTGGATTGATTTGTTGCCTTCTCTCTGTCTTTCAGGAGGTTTTTCTGAGACCTATGCAGCTCTTTGTGACTACAATGGAATTGGCTGCAAAGAAGAAGTGCAGTGGGTGAGGAACAATGTGCAGGCTTTACGAAAACACTCCTGTTTGTTGTGTTTTCTTGTTCATACTCCACTCTTTGTCCTCTTTTGTTTTGTCTGTTCTGTTTACCGTTACTCTCTGTTTTCTCATCTTTCGTCTCTTCTCTCTCGCCCTGTTTTCTCTGCTCAGGACGTTGACACAATCTACCACTCTCAGGACAACCGAGAGTTCAATCTGCTGGATTTCAGCCATCTCGACAGCAGGTGACACAGTTACTGACATCTTAACCACACCCAGGCTGATTACAGCACACCAGCATGCACTGATTGGAGAGGCACAATTACCTTGGGCCAAACCTAGACTGCAGCAGTATTCAATGCAGTCTGAGTGTGGGTGTGTATTGGCTTTGTCCTCAAGCTCATTGGTTTGAAATGAAAACTTAATATAAATTAGTGTAAAGTGCAGACTTTCAGCACTAATTAAAGGGTGTTCAAAACTGCGTCAGAGAGCATTAAAGGAACAGAAAGAAAATTAACAACTTAAAATAAAGTGGTTTTATCTAATGTTCTTGGTTTTGTAGCAGTCAGATTGTTACCCACAGATGAAACCAAACACTTGGCATTCTCCTGTGAGATGCTTTGCCAGAAGTGTTCTGCAGCCACCGTTAAATCTTTTCTGTTTAAGGGGCTTTTATTAAAATCCAGACCGGTCCGGAGACAGTAAAACACCTACTCAGCTGAATGGCCTTATTACGTTGTGTCAACGTTTATGTATCCAATAGGTTTCAAGTGAAAAAAGCACACTTTTGGCAGCCTGAAATTCGACCACAATTTGTTTCCAAACCACTGTCAAAAATATTCAATGCATAGACACATTTATTTTAGATTTCAGGTTAGGGTAGATAAACATTACCCCTTCAGCACATTGGACGTGAACCATTTTCTATGAATGTGTGCCTGTTTTGTTTTTTTAGCAGTAGCCTTTCATTTAATGAGATCCTCTTTTCACACACAGATTTTTGATGAAACACATGTTGGTCTGCAGGGTCTCGAATAAAGGTACTCTGATGTGCTTTTAATATGAAGAGAGAGAGAGAGAGAGAGAAACAAAACAGAATCCTCATAATGCAAGGACGTAACCAGGGAATCCATCACTATTACACTTTATTATATGGTTGTAATAAAAACGTGATTCTGATTGGCTAATTACCCATAGCAACAGTCTTCTATTCCTCGAAAGCAGGGAGTTGTTGAGAGGAACAAACCGCTTCTCTGAAGAGCAGGCTGTTGTTAGGGACGAGGCTCGAAATCACAGACTCTGGAGGAGCAACTGCAATCATATCAGTCCGCAGAAAGAAAGCTGGTTAATTTGACGTTGTCTGGGTTAACTATGGGAAGAGAAAAAAAGGATAGGAAAAACAACAGGGAAAAGTGGAAAGGAGGCTAAAAACTGTCTGCATTGATAAATCTGCAAAACTGAATCTAGCACATGAAGTAACCTTAAACAGATCACACGGCTGCATGAGTCGCACGGCTGTGCACAGGGCACCCATCAGTCCTCAGATTGCACAGCTAAAAAAACTATTTGTTGAGCAGAAGAAATTCATTCTTTTTAAATCAGCGTAATAATTTCTTCATCATCATTTTGTAGCATATGATTTTTTTGTTATGTAATAAGATGCATGATGTAAAGTGAGCAGTTCGTTTCAGCGAGATGATTAACAGATGACACAGGCTGTGAGTGAGATTTCATAGTTGGCTAAAAGTTTGGTCAAATTGTGCACATGCTAATTTTGCAGCTCGGATTGACCTTTTTTTATAACCAGCCTCTCTGTGTGGTCGTGTATTCCACTTTTAACTTGCTGCATTCCCACAGAACTTCCCATTGTGGCTTGAGTATTGCACAAGTTATGTCATACTAATTCTTTACCCCGGAGGTATTGAATCTACAATGTGCCTAAAGGCTTCACTTCTGTGTGTTCACGTAATTCAGACCTGGAGCTTTACTCTAGTGGCACAGTTCCATTTGTCACAATGCCACTATGTCAGCACAGCGAGGAGAAACCATAATGACACTAATTAATTCACAGTAAATATAAAGACATATGGTGTGACTTCATCATGACTGTGATGTGACTGTGTTGCACTAATCTATGCAGCGTTGTTTACTATGGGAGCTCAGTTTCTGTGAGTGCAAGTTACACAAGTTGCTCTTTTGTGTTTGCTGCCCCCACTGGCTGATGCTCATGTCATGGGACATGCTACTTAAAACCCATTTGCAATTTCAAACGAATGAACGCAGCTTTCAACCAGCACTGACGTCTTTGGGAATCACAACTGAGGATGAAATCTAACACTCAAACATCACAGTTGTTTTATTTTAAATCTATTGCGCTAGACTGCAGACGCACAGCAAATCATTGTCAGAGAACTTTCTGACAACTCTCTGGTTTTCCTCTTCATTTTGCGTCATGACATTTTGGAAACATGTTTCCCAGAATGTACAATGCATCTTGTCATCTGCCAGTCCTCGTCTGATCTGACATTAGATTCGCTGTTTGTCTTAACTAGACCCTCCCAGGGCAAAAGTTGAGGGTATTAGTCTTTCATTCTCTCTGTGGCTCACTTGCTGTCCTGGGTCTATGTTCAGTTTTCTTAGAGGTTTGGTAAGATCACAAGAGAAAGGAAGGGGAGTGATGTGCATGTCAGAGAAGAATCAGGAGCTCGGAAACAGCAGTAAGACGCCATATGTCTTCTCCTCCACCTCCCCCGCTGGATTCTTTTTTAAAGTCCCGCTCATCCTTTCCCTGATATATTGAGGAAGAGTGTTCATGTCGCTCGAGTGCTGCCAATCATAAAAGATTTGACAGCTGACATGCAAATGGAGAATTGGACCCAGCTAACTTGTCTTTTGTTTGAGGAATGTTTTGTCCTCAGAGAACCCCGAGGCCTACAGCTCTTCTCCCTAGTAGAAACAGCAATTCCGGCCGGAGACGATACATTCACACTTAAAAATGCACATCTCATCATTGCAGCGAAGCCGTGCTATGCTGGTAAATCAAAAAGCCATTCATATAAGCATGATTGCAGCAGCAACTCATGAATATATTAATGTCTGCTCATATTGAGAGCCAAAGTCACTGCACCGCTGTTGTTTTTCCTCCAGTGTTTCATATAGTGTGTGATAAGGAAAGAGCCTCTGCCTCTCTACGCTGTTTTTAACATCTTCCTTTAACTTATTGGTCCCTTGAGCCCACAGTCCCGTGCTAAAGACTTGCCCTGCTTTTCACAAGACCAAAAAAAAAAAAAGAAGCAAATAATGCTGAAAAGTTGCTAATGGCTTACAGGTCACATGTTATGTAAAATTCACTTCACCATGTTTTTTTTTTAACACTAATAAGTGTCCTTAGTCTGTCTACAAGCACCTCAATGATGAGAACAATCCATCCTCTCTGTCTTCTGCCTGCTCCACTTTTCTGAAAATGTGTGCTCAAACAGGCCGTTTGGAAATGTTTCCTTTATGACATCACAAAGGGCAGTAACCCCTCCCCCAGGTGGGTGACACTCCCACAGCTAGGTGTTTGTTCTTCCCTCTGCGTCTGCCTACTTACTCTAAACAATTGAGCATGGATTTAGAACAAGAAACTTCACACACATGTTTTGAGGAGCTCTGAAACTTAAACTGGTTGAAAAGGAGGAGAATATGTGAGCCAACTCCACATGTGCATTCCAGTTATGTAATTGATGTCTTATGAGCTAAATGATAGATGGTATCTAAAAAGTGTGAAAACTGTTTTCAATATGAGTTTGAAATAGTCATGCAAGTTTTTTTTGGAATGTTTAATTATTGAAAAAAACTACTTAGCTTATTACAGGAAGTGATAGTGTTATCCATGGCTAATAATCAAAAGCTGCTGGTGTTGAGTGTTGACCCAATTGTCTAATTTTGTTCCGAGAGTTAATGCGTGCTATTGATGATGCATTTTCAGTGGCAGCATCAGTGGTGGAAAATTATGCAGTTACATAATCATGAAGCTCAAGCTAACATTACAGAGCCATCATTAAGCATTTCATTGATAGCTTTGAGGACAAATAGGACCATTTAAGCTATTATTGCAGATGTTTTCTAAATGCTAACAATGCTAACAATGCTGTGGATGGCAGAGCATTATGTTTATCACTGTTTAGTGAATGACTGAAATGAATAAGAGGGCTGGCTGCTTTGAGACTGAGTCAGATTACACAAGCATATTGTGCATGGCTGCACTGACGCTGATTGTCACATGAGCTCTTGCCGTGTGCTGAGTCAGGGAAATCATATCAAACATGACAATAAAAACATGATCAACCACACTCACACAGTCCATGTCTAGAGATGATGTAAACAGAAAATAAAAGGTTTTCTAATATATATTCAAAATCCGATTTGTTTTTGGTCGCTTAATGTGACAAGTCGTACATTTCATGTATTTTTTTTTTATTTCAACCATAATCTCTATAAGCTTTAAGAAGGATCTGTGACTTGGTCTTTCAACGATCAAATGCCAGAGGCTGTTTGTGTTGCATTTCTCTCCTCCTCCCCTCCTTGTGCTTCCACATTTCCATCACCTCCATCTTCTGATTCAGCCCATCCACCGTTACCACGAGCAACGGGGCCATGCTTTTTTCTGCTGACTGCTTGTCCTTATAAAACTTAGTCTCATTTCTCCTGACTGAAAGCGGACACCTTTTTATCCGGCCCTGTCTCCTCCTCTTGTTTTCCACTTCCTCTGTTTTCTCCTCAATTTTCTCAGCTCTCCTTTTCCATCTTTCTGTCTCTGAATCAATGCCCTCCTCACGAACACACTAAACACACACAATGTCTCTGTTGGTCACGTTGGGCCACTGGGTTGCGGAGGGGATTCTGCGTTTGGAGGACTCAAACAAATATTTTTGTGCTCTCCTACATTTCTGAATCTTTGCTTTGTGAGAGAAATTGTTTACTGCCATGAGAAATTATTTTGGCACCTTTGGCTTGGCATCTACTCTCACTGTATGCAGACAATCACAACAACTCAACAGAACCCTATTCTGGATGCAGGGTCCAACTTTTTTTGCAACTTTCTTCCTGGTTATCTTTTTACCCTTTTTTGAAGCAGGACAGTAACTCCACAGCTCACTGCTACCATCTGCTTTACCTGTCAATGTGACAGGACCTGAGTCATGGTCTGCACAGGGTTAGACAGTAGCACTGATTTATTACCACACACATTGTCAGCTCCAAAATCAGACCGTCTTCCAGCTGACTATGGTGGTTGGTGGGTCTAAAATCTATCATGAATATTTATGATCCCCACAGGATGATTTCTGATGTCGTCTGACCTTAACTGTAGTGTGCCACCATGGATGTATTATTGAGGACAGAATGCAGAAACACTGCTCAGCCTTGCCTCTAATTTTGCCCAGTGGCAAGATAAAATGCAGCCAAAAAAATCCCTTGCATCACGAATATATTATCCCTGGAGACTACCCTTACCAGAGATGTCTATTAAACTTTTGACAGACGCAGGAGTCAATACAGGTTTTATTATTTTCTCCCGGTGACCCCTCTGACCTGTTTTACTTCCATACAATTAAAATGTTTTTCACTCGCAGTCAAGTATATCCATCTGAAGTTTCATAACCATGAAATTTACTGAACATAATCAAGCTCCCCAAAGGATAAACACTCTTTATTGTGGACACTTCATGACCTTCCCTCATCTCTTACCCACAAGCTGTTAAATAATCTAACAGGCTTATTACCATGAAATGTTCTGGGCACAGTCACGCTCCCTTAGAGACTTTTGATTTGAATGACCCGATGATCTTTTCTCCACCAGCACCTCAGGGACTAACTTTATCTGAGCTTTGTTTCTGTTCGGAGAATATCACTGGTCTCTGTTGTGCTTATTGTGGACTGTAATAAATGTTTGAGCCTTGAGGGTTTGCCAGAAGGATAAAAATAACGTTTTTACTATTCATGATTCTTAAATTGCCAGTCAAGGCCTAATATATTGTTAGAGTCAGTGCAGACAGTCTGCAGGGTTCTGGCAGCATGCAGATGATGAAATTTGCAACATGCTTCATCTTAATGCAAATTAAATCCCTATTTTTTTGTGTTTTTGGCTTTTAATCAGTTATCTATTTCTTGTCGTTTTGCTATTATGCATTTCTTTTGGCTTTTTGCAGCAGGCTTCTGGATTTGCAGCCTTTCTCTCCAAATGGAAGTCTTCTTGCACAATCTTTTTTTGCCTTTGTCAGCCACATAACCAGGTAGATGCAGAAAGACAATGTGAACCTGCAGCCAGTAAGCTTAGCATTAAGACCATCAAGACTGTAAACAAAGGGAAACCGCTCGCCCAAGGTTACAACAGTTTGCCTTAGCAGTATCTGAAAATTGTAATGATGAACTTCCTGGAGTCTCGTCATCGCCTTTCACATCAGCTGATCTGTGTGTAGGTATAGTCTGCATGGTTGTTTAATCGCCAGTCAAGCCTGATGTGTGGTGACAGTCAGAGCAGACAGTCTGCAGATGATAATATGTTTTTGTCATGCTAAATCTTACTGCCGTTTTATGCTACTTCTGTTGCGACCTGTGAATTCATGTTTTTTTTTTTTTTGTTGCATTTGTTTTGAGTTTTTGACATTAGATCAGTCATTTTTTTTTTCTGCCCTTTTGCTGTTAATGTATTTATTTATTTTCTTTAGGCTTTTTTTTTCATTTTCCCCAGTAAGAATCCCACACGCATGTCATTAAAGTCAATATGTACAGTGCCTGCAGCTAGCTTCGCCTAGCTTGACCTAAAGCTGGGAAACAGAGTGAAGCAGCTTAACATGAGCTCACAAAACACCCTTAACTAGCATATATGAAGCGCAATAATTATTTCCAGGAGTCTCGTCTTCGCTTGAACTTTGAGTTGACCTGCATGAAGAAGTAAACAGCGACAGACTGACCCGCTGTGCCAACATGTGCTAATGAACGAGTGCAAGTACAGGACGACGCATAAACACGGACACACTGCATGACAGAGTGAGACATCATAGAGGTCAATTGCATGTCCTGCTGTCAAAACATGAATCAAAAGGGAGTGTTGATGATGGATCTTGACATGTGCATCATCTGCTCACTCACACACACACACACACACACACTCACACTCACACACACACACACACACACACACACACACACACAGACTCATCTGTGTTAGTCAGTATACACCGGTCCGAGGGCTACTATGGTCATAAAAAAGGAACACAGCCTGTAGACATTTTACCCCTCTGAGATCTAGTGTAATGTCTTGCCGAATGCAGTTACTGGAAACAGGAGCGTCCCTGGCTTGATTACACTTTTTCTTCATTTCTCTCTTTTTCTTTCACTTTGTAGTTTCCCTCACTCTCTCTCACTCTCTCTCTCTCTCGCTCTCTCTGGCTTATTCCCTTTCTCTGTGCCTCCTCTTTCTCCCTGTGTTGCTGCTTGTTTGTCAGATGATGTATAGCAGGTGTAGCAGCAGTGTAGCTTTAGTTGGACCGCGGAGGATACTAAAACTCCCTCTCTCCTCCCTGTCCTTCGTTTTTTTTTTTCCCGCCACAAACACACACACAGGATGGTCTGTGGACTCTGTGTATTCCTCTGTAGCAGTGGATGTAGCAGTGTTTGAGGTCTGTAGCTAGGATCAAGCTGTGGCTTTATTGAATAATCCACTGACCCGGCCATCGATCTTTACATCTCTCTCTCTCTCTTTTTTTCTGCTCCTCCTCAGCGGGGCTGCAGTATCAGTCATCTTTTAGAAAGCAGCCCTGCCCACAGTGTTCTCCCTGTCACCATGATAAACTGCTTTAAGCCAAACAGGGAGCAAAGAAAAAGTTTGGCCCATGATGATATGAATTTATGGATCAATGACATCAAGTGGTTTGGAGCAGATGGAGTTGGCTTATTTAAAGTTTTTAAAATTAAAATCACTAATATAATACTTTTGTTTCCATTCCAGGGACTTGGCGGTGATCGTGGCCTCCATTGCGTACAACACCTGGTTCACCAAGCTGTACTGCAAAGACATGAAAATAGTAACTGACTATTTTATCCTTTCCTTATTTTATGCTCCCTCTGCTAGTCTGTTTGTTATCTGATGACATTTATTCGATCCAATCTGCTTATATTGCAGAGTGCAGTCCAAATGTTTACAAAGACATCTCTGTCATCATTTCGCCGAGGCTCCTGGGATTGCTTAGTATTTTGAATGTTCGCTAGAATCACTTTGCTTTTTGTTCGTACCATACATGATGGATAGAAAGACTCCCTGGATGTCATTTATTCTCATGAGAGCACAGACAAAAGAGAGAGCACGTTTGAGGACAGAGGAGGAGGCGTGGAGTCAGGTTACCTTCAGCACAGTTTTATAAACCCATTTCAGAGGATGTCAATCATTATCAAATATTTATATTGTGCATTAGAGTAAGTGGTATCCATCGGAGTTGAACTACATGAAAACTGTCTGTTCAAGAAGCAAAGTAAATATTTTAAAGATATTGAATTACATGAACTCTAGGAGTCATTGGAGCTCCCTACAAACGTTTGTTTGGATGATAAAGTTGCTCTGTAGAAATTCTTTGACAGCAAACTGAAGGTTACATTGAGTGTATTCATCAAGACACATTCTGTGAATACTACAGGTCAAACAAACTACTCAGTTACATTTCCCAAAAAAAGTAGATGATATTTAAGACATTTTTAAAATCATGTAATGTTTGAATGCATGAATTATCAATGTGTAACACTGTATGTTAGCTGTGGATGTAGCCATGGTTATGCCACCCTAATGGAAGCCTTAACTTTGGCCCCTTGGCCGACCCTGTCTTGTTTTTTTGTACAAATTGACCATATTTGGAACTCGAGATGGGTACATAATGGATGTCCAGGTCTGTTGTAGTCCCAGCTCATTTCCTAAAACATCCCCTGATTCATGGTCATTTCACTCTACATGGACCCATTTTTTATTTTTATTTTTATTTTTTACAAATTTAAACCCATGCTGTTTGAAAAAGGACGAAAATAGTCAACAGGGTACACTGTGCACAGTTTTGAAGTTCTCAGGTACGCACGGTTGCAGGAACATACCATGAATAATTAATCAACAATCCACTGAAAATGACTTTACGGTATTTTATTGTGAGCGTGCTGGGCGAACATGAGGAAGCGACATGTGAATAATAAAATACAGTTAGTTCTAATTGTGTTTAAGTGTTTAATACTGAGATAACCAAACTCTTAACTTCACCCACTTGCCAACAGTATGAAGAGCACAGAGAAAATCAAGAGCTAGAAAAATCAGTTGTTAAAATATCCAATCTATTCCAGCTTTTGCAGAGATTTTGTGTTGATGCATTTCAAGAGTGTGTTCTTATTTTGGCTCGTACAAAAAATGTTTAATACACATTTGTGCATGAGGTTTAAGAGCTTAATGTACACAAGGGGAGTGTGTGATATCTGCAACCCATTGGTAAAGATCTTCCATTAATCTCATTTCCGTTGCTTCAGTTTCTTTTTTACGTTTCACTTTGTAGATCCTCTGGTCACCTGCTTCTATGTTGTCTTGTGTGTCTGCAGGGGTCGGAGGTGGTGGACCAGGTTCTACACACAGTCAGCAAGTCCAACAGTCTGGAGGAGCTCACTCTGGAGAACGCAGGACTCAAATCGTAGGTTTCCGCTCTCCTGGCACTCACCAGCCCTGCCAGTCACCTCTCTTTGTTTAATCTAATTTCCTCTCCTTTTCTTCTCTTCACACTTTCACCTCTGAGACACTTCTCTACCTCTCCTCTTTTGTCCTTTTCACTCGGTCCAATCTTTTCCATTCCCTCTCTGTCTCTCCTTGGCTTGTTGCCTGTCTTCTCACTTCGATCTCTTCTGCTTCACCTCTTCACCTTAGCTCATGTCACCTCTCCGCCCCTCCTCACCTTCCCTCCTCTCCTCTGCTGTCGTGACCTTTCCGATTCTACCTCTCCTCCTTTCTCTTCCCCCCTCACCTCGCTTAATCTTTGCCCTTTCATCCAATAAAGCTCCCTGCTGTCTGCCTGTGGCGGCTCTGCTCTTTCTGCACTGATACATGAGTCAAATTTTAGGTTTCACCTGCCAAGACTTTTCACCTTCTATGCATGGGTAGAATCATTAGGCAAAGCAGTTTCCCTTTTCACTACTAATTGAGATGAATTGGCTGCCTCAGGGCCAGATGATTTTCTGCCGCATAATGATGAAGTTAACAGGTTTTTATACTTTGCCTGGGTTAACTCACTTTCAATACAGAGGGCAATTTGTAAAAGACGCTCTCCACAGCTCTGCACCAGATCTGACACTGATATTAAAAACAAGCGAATACATCTGTGATAAGGAAGTTCCCACAGATGAAACACACTATGACTATTTAAGTACATTATGTGACTTAAAAGACTCCCACTGAAATCCGTTTTGATATGTGATTGAAGAGACTTAAAAAGGAATTTGTAGAGTACAGAAGTGTACGAGGAAAATATTAGCCCTCAATTCAAAGCACTTTGTTCCAAACAATGCTCAGAGGAGATTTCTCATAAAGTGAACAGATTTTTTGACATATAAATCTTTCTTGACTGCAGATAGTTATGTTGATAAATGTGAATTACTTAAAACAGTTCAAAAGAAAATATCTTTGTCTACTATTGGCCGACAAAACAGTAATTAAACACGATGATGTATTTTCTTATCAGGTTGGGAAAACCTGTTCGCAAATCTTTGCCTGTCAACCGATCAGTAGATGCATTGTATCGCTACTATTTTTGTCTCTGTACTCCATATTAAGTCTGCTTCTGCTAGATTCTTGTCTGTTTTCGGTAGATGGTAGGCAATGAGCATTGGGTTTATTGAAAACAGAGACATGCTGTGTCTTAGATAAGGTTGATTTGTGCAATGAGACTGAACCACTTATGTTCAGTTTTAACCTTCAAAACCTGTCAAAAACCTCTGAAGGCTCATTAGAGTCCAAATGTTCTGCATACATTTATCCAGGGGGGGGTTGCCCTTCCAAGGAAATGCGATGGAACTTCCATATTTGGCTTTGCACCTTTGAAATGTATAAGTACTTGTCAGCGCTCTTGCCATTTTTTAAGGCTACACTTAGATACTGAATACAAGTACTACACAAATGAATACAATGAGCAGCTAGTATTGTTTTTATATCAAGAAACATCCATCCATCCACTAATCCATCCATCTAGCCATCCATCCACTTATCTATCCATCCATCCACATATTCATCCATCCATCCACTAATCCATCCATCTAGCCATCCATCCACTTATCCATCCATCCATCCATCCACTTATCTATCCATCCATCCATCCACTTATCTATCCATCCATCCATCCACCTATGCACTTACCAACTTATGCATCCATTTATACAAACACCCTTCTGTCCATCAAACAGTCCATCCATCCATCCACTTATCTACTTTTCCATCTACTTAGCCACTTACCCATCCATCCATACATCCATCCACCCATCCGTCTGTCAGTCTCATTTTAATTGGTACCTTAAATTTGTCTGTCTCATTTACAGCTGTCCATCTCTGCGTCTGTCATTTTTTTCAATTGGTACCCAAGAGAGTATATCTGCTTCCCAGTTCAACTCTGTCTGTCTCACCTTTCTAATGATGTGGTGAAAATTGTTGTTATTTCAACATTTAATCAACTTTTACTGCAAAAAAATCCACATCTTTAAAACTTTGACTTTATTACCCAAATGTTCTTCAGTTTAATTAGAGTTCCGGCAAAGGGACAATACTGCATCTTGAGTAGGACATTCGGTGCACATTGCTCAGAGGTGAAATCCTGAAACTTTATTGAACTTTTACAAGAAGCCTAATTTTTCTTTTTAACGATATGTCTCCAGGGATTTTCCGCAGAAGATGGCGTCAGCGCTGTCAGAGAACCCAGCCTCTGTGATTCACTCCCTAAACCTGGCTCATAACACGCTCGACAACCAAGGTACTCTTCTGGACTGTGAACGTGTGCTCCCTCCTACTGCTGTCTCTCCCAGCGCTCCTCTGATTGTTCTATGCTTTTTGCTTTACCAAGGCGTTTGTTTACTCTCAAAGAATTCAAAATCAATCTCTTACCTCACCAAACCCGTATACTCTGTTCTTCTTTTTCTCTTTCATTTATCTTTCATACTATATGTGTATGAGTGGTGCTGCTCTGCAGAGAACTGCTTTGATTTTTCTGTCTCGCCCACAGTTTTTCCACACACACTGAAGCTCTTGTGTTTCTCTATACAGCCACATATACAAACATACTTTAATTGTCTCTGCCCGGTTGTTGTTTTTTAACAAACAAAAACCTGAAAGCATCGCAGAGTGTATGCCTTTATATCAGGGTGAGGCTTTGCATGCATGCCACAATCACTCATTAGCTAATTTGGTCCTCCTTCCTGACACATGTCACTTCCACTTTCATTGTGTGCACAGTTCCTGCCCTCTCCTTCTTTGTTCATGTGTGTATTAATAGCCTGCAGACTTCTGTTACTGGGATTGCTGTTACAAAGGTGCTGCAGCCTTACAATTCATCAAAGTAATACAGATAGTCACAGTTCAGTAAAGATTGACATTAAAGATTAACATTTCAATGTTACAATATGTTTTTAAGCCTTTGAATGGAGAAAGTTGCAGTTACTAGTGTTGTAGTCAAGACCAGACTAACAAGAGACCAAGACATACCTGAGACCAGAGTGCTCCGAGACCGAGATAGACCATATAGGGATCGAGACCAAGTCAAGACCGAGACCATGGCAGGGTGAGACTGACACGATACCAAGGCAAGTCCATAAATATCATGGAAAAATCCTCATCTTGTGTGCAGCGGGCGTGTCACTCACTTAGACCGTAAGACCGGGAAGGTTGCGGCCGTAACCGGGGGATAAAGGACGAGACCTATTTCGAGTACTACAACAATAGCAGTTACCTCGAAACAAGCATTGGCACTACATTGAAGCCGAAGTTCAGTAAAGTCAAGACTTCTATCAGCTTTGTGTGCTTTACAGAATCATGGTTCAATCAGTGAAATCATAATCGCTGAGCAGAAACTAGTTACGTAATTTAGTCTGGCATACGGTATTTCTATGGTTTTGTCTCTGTATTGGGTATGTGGGAGAAGGTGACATTGTGAAGTATGTCGGTGTGATGTCTTTTTTAGCTGGAGTGTACTTGTGAGTATAGCATTGTGTATGCTTTGGAGGGGGTGTACTGAGAGAAGTTGCATTCTCTCTTGGAGTTGTGTTGCAAAGCTCTGTGTGGGCTCATAACTCTTCAAGAGCACTCGGGTGTAGGGCTGTAAGTGGCTATTATTGTCAAAATTGAAATTAAATTATTTTACCAGCTTTCACTAAAGAGGGCATCTAAGCGAAAATAAAATATATACACATTCACAGGCTTACAAAACTCTGAATTATTTGCATTTTTCTAGATGGAAAGACTTGTAAAACACAGCAATAACCTACCTATATATTTTCCAGTATAGTAAACAATAACACATTGAATTCATTTGGATGCAAATGTGTGTTTTTGTGAATTAATCAGGCCTTTCTCTCATCTCTCTCTTCATTCTAGGCGTCTCCAACCTGATTCAACAGGTGTGTCGCCTCAACAAGGGACTGCGCCTCCTCAATCTTGCCAAGACCTCCCTCTCCTCCAAGGGTAAGAGACGCAGCAGCCTCTAGTGGCTGCCACTGCACACAAACACAGTTTTTTTAACTACATGTTAAAGAGAGTCCCATTTAAAGTTGTATCTGTTTTAACACAATTCTTGTGTTCATGATAGTCTCTCTCTCTCAGTACATTGCTCCCCTGCTATCCCATCTGCAGTTTTATTTCTCCTGGCATTTACACACAAAGATAAACCGACCCATGCATGCACGGTGTGATCCATTTACCAAATGATAATCAGGTCACAATCATAAGTAGTTGATCTGTTTTTTTTTTCCTACAGAGGAATTAGTACACTGTCCCAATTCCCTTGCTCTTATCTGAAACATGAAAGCATGCAGCAGGTTTTACTACCCAGCAGATAGTATTAGAGCAGATTCAAAAGGATCATTTTGATTAAAACAAATGTTGAATCCATACATTCATATCCTGATCTTCATTGCCTTTTCTTGCCATTACAGAAAATTGTATTGCATTTTTATCTTTTAATGCATTAATGGGTAATGATGTTTAGCTGGTTTAGTTTTTATGCTTTTTATTTCCCATATAGTGGCACGACATGCTGCCTTATAAGGGCAAAACCTTGTGACTGCATTGTTGTTCAAATGTATGCTAACAATTTCACTTTTTGTTTAAAGTTTGTACCAATAGCCATATTTCAGACTTCCGTTTTAAGGCACGATATTGGTGATGACTCGCCTTCAATCTGAATGTCGTGAAGGCGTAGTGGGGGGGCGGAGTGATCCTTCACTCTGAACCGTCTTTGTATCAGTGGAGCCAGCGGGGAGTGCAGCGTGTGTGTGTGTGTGTGTATGTCTGACTGTATGTGTATGTGGAGCTCCCGCTGTGCTGTGCTGTGCTGTGCTGTGCTGGGCTTCCGCAACCCGAACGCAATGTGAATTCAGAGACAAGAATATAACGCTGTCACAGAATCAATATGAATGTACACAGACGTGATGAGCTGAGCTTGGTTACACCACTCTTGCAAAAACCGGCAGTCTGAAAAGGGCTGTAGACTGTATAAAGAATGGACAGTGGACTAGCTCGCCTCTAGTGATGCCAAAATATTTAGAGCTCCCCCTACTGACTAGCTGCGGCATGGGTCATAAAACCGGCCTCTTCTATGTTAACAGAGGGGACATGGGTCATACAAAAAAAATCTAAATGTAGGTCGAATGCATTTCTCTCAAACTGTGTGTCTGTTGTGATAGTTAATGTTAGCATTTTGTGTTAAGGACATCTTTCTTCTAAGAAGTTATTTTTGAGGTCATTATTTGATGCCATAAAATGCTATGATTGACAGCTCTGTTGGAGAATGCGGCTTTGTGCACAGGATTAGCAGAGTACAGAAATAAAATGGCCTGAGGAAACGTAACAAACACCAACGTGGCTCTTCAAGCCAATTCCTCCTCTGGTTGCAAATTGGAATTATTTCAGCGCCCATCAAATGGATATTTTGGCTTCATTATGTCCAATGAGAGGCTGAGGCATGCTGTTCATTTGTATATACAGTCTATGGTTTGTAACATGAACACATTTCTTTTGGGGGGAGCGGGGACATGACCCCTCATTCACATCCTGTTCCCTTCTCCCTTTCCACACACATAATGTAAAGTACCAGCAAGTAAATAAGTTCAACTTTATGTATAGGGTACTTTTCAAACACTTGGTTACAAAATGCTTCACAAAGGAAACAAGCAATGTACATCATAAGGAAATAACAAATAAATCACTACCTCAACAAAGCAAAATAAGAATCCAACAAAAACAGAAACAAACTCAGTAAGAGAAAGGGGTTGAGCGTTACATGAAGGCTTGTCTGTACAGGTGAATTTTGAGATGTTGTTTGAAGCTGTCCAAAGTCTTAGATATTATTATTTGTTATATATTACTGATAAATAAAGTGGATTTCTTACTGACAGTTGAAATAGAAAAGAAAGCTAAAAGAACAAACCATGGCTGAGGTTCTATGACATCATTTTAGGAGCCCAGATTGATGGATGGATGGGGAGCATGGAAATGTTACTACTTCATAACTTTTGACTGTAAAAATTTAAAAAGTTGGCTGAGACACTGAGTGTTGTAAGGGCCTCAATCCAGCGTTGGAGTACGTTCTAAAAGGGAAAAGCTCACTCACTGTGACTTTAAAGAGAGTGGGTTGTGACACAGGGATTGAGGGGGGAATGCAGTGATGGGACTGACCTTGAATGGTGAGTGTTGATATGACTTTGCAGGGGCTGAGCATTTTTTGTTGAATATTTATAGATGACTCCCCCTCCCTCTGTCTGTCTCTAAAATACCTGTACATATGTCCACACAAGCTGCGCAGACACACACGTCGGCCTCGCACACATATCTGTTTTTCGCACAGATCGCAGTTTCTAAGATGCGATCAGACATGCTAATAAGCAGATTTATCACACATGCTCTCACACACTCGACAGTGTCTCACAGGTCAGATGGCTTCGAAAAGTTTCCACTCTCAGCAGAAACAGGCAGCTGATAGATGGATGGCTGGAGGGAGGGGGGATTAGACACCCTGTCCCCTCTTCCCCCTCACTTCCCCGCTAATCGCTGTAAATTAGGGATGAAGAGCTTAGACCCTCTAGAGCGGCACAAACAGTTGATGTCTTCTTCTGCATTTGCTCCCCAATGATAAAGACCAGGACAAAAACACCTTCCCTCACTGCTCACAATAGTTTATATTGCATCTTAACTGGAAACGGCACAGAGTGACGATGGTTGCAGACTTTTGTTTTAGTTTGCTGCCTGATATTTCTCCCTGTTGATGCTAGGTCTATATTTAATCCTCAGCTTGCTGCAGCATGCTGTGTTTTGCCTTGCTGTTGCAGGGTGATAGTTTTAATGAGGGGTTCCTTCGGACCTGTGAGTGTAATTGTGTAGTGATCTGATTTGAGAGAATGACTTTCTTTTGGCTTGTAGGCGACTCTTAGATACTGGGATAAAGGGGGGAAAAAGGTGGCTGGCTTCCCCCAGGAGCTGATTTTATACTTGTTGGCCACGTGAACGCAATAATCTTTGCAGGATAATTTCTGCTACCATGCTTACTCACTCTCTTCCATTATCTAGTTTTGTTTTCATTAGAAGCTAATAAGTCACGTCCTGAGCATTAAATTTGTGGAGTCTTAAAAAACTCCAGCCATGATTATAAGAAGATTAAATGACAGAAGGATGCATATGGCTTGTTTATCCTTATCCCCTCTGTTGCATTTCTTCCCTTCTTTCCTGTCTCCTCTCCTTTCTTTCTTGCATTAGGTGTTGTGTCTCTGTCCCAGGCGTTGTGTTCCAGTGATGACTACTCTAATTCCCTGCTGCATCTGGACCTCAGCAAAAACCCCGGGGTTCTGTCTGGAGAGGACGCCACGGTGAGGGACACGAACAAATGCAAATGCACATATACACAGTGATGATAAGAAGAAGTCAACTGGAGAACAACTTAATATAATTAACTAATATTTGATTAGTTGTTAAGGACAAAAACATACGTTGGAACTTACCTTTAGCAGATTCTTGAGTAAAGTTAGCCAACATTTGGTCGGAACACTTCCTGCTGGTTTACGACTTTTCACACAGCTACTCAGATGAAATAGGATTCTGAAAAGCTCTTTCTGTGCAAATACAAGGAAATGTATTGTTGAATAACTGACATTTCATATTGACTTCTCAAGCAGGGGGTTGTTTGAAATTTCTAATCCAGCCACAAACTCTGGACTGAATAGAAAAGTAGACTCAGACACTGCAGGATATCAAAGTAGTTGTTTTACCATGTGCAGCTTTGGCTTTATGCTTTGTTACGCTTATGGCATCGCTAGAAAACAGATTTTGACTCATGCAGTTTCTTAAGCAAACTGTAAAAGAGATTTTTTTTTTTTTCTTTATATTTTCTGTTTTCCCCTCACAAGCCTCCAGGACTCACTGCAGAGACGTCTCCCCACAACATGACGCTGCCACCATCATACTTCCCACCAGGGAACTTTTCTATGTTTATGATGATATGATGGGGAAACAAAATCTATCTCAGTCCCATCAAACCACAAAACCTTCTCCATCAGATGTGTCTCCTGCTTGCCGTTTGACAAACTGCAGCAGAGATTTGTATTTTGTCAGAGTGGCTTTTTCTGTTCCACTCCACCATAAAGCTGACAGGTTAAGCGTCTGTTTTGAATCCTTCCCCTGACATGTGTTTTGAAAACACCTTTTTTTGTGTGGAAATGCTTGTAGTGGTTATTTGTCTTTATGGTATTGTTTTTCCACTATATTGACTCAACAAAACATGGATCTTAAGAATACACTCAACTGGAATCTCCTGACTACAAACACATAATCGTCATTTAACTCATTATGTGACTTATGCCGTTTTCACATCTGCACTCCTGAAAATATCTAGATAATTTCAGGAGGACTGCTCCGGATATTCCCCTGACCTGGCTGTTCATATATGCACATCACGGTGGGAGCCTATCCCTGTCAGACAGGAAGGGGGGTGGGGGGGGGGGGGTCTCCTGAGGTAAAACGCAACATGAAAAGAAACAACGCGGTGGTATACGATGCTAGAATTAGAAAATTTGCCTTTTTCCAATGCTACATATAGCCCAACAGAATGACAACATCAGCAAAAGAGTGGAGAAAAAAATACTGACGAATAGAAGATGTAATGCAGCCGTTTAATCATGTGCATGGAGATCATACCGTAGCAGTCGCGTGCATGCAGTCTATGCACTGACTCCAGTCACAGTACTCCCCCCGTCACTCCCCCCTCCCATTGGCTCAAGGCGAATTCTCTGGATAATATCCTACTGTGTTCTCACATCGGCTCACTCGAACTTCCTGCGGGAAAAATACAAGGGGCAGGAAGGAGAAACTCCTGGTGAAGCCAGAGTGAAAAATGTGTCTGTTTGCGTTCACACATACACCTCCTCCTGGAAATATCATATGTTTTTCAGGAGTTTTCTGCAAGTGTGAAGTTGTTGTTTTACTTTTATGTGAAAACCTCCAAATAGGGGTGAATACTTTTTATAGCATTGTGAATTTTTGGATATAAATAGTAGGTATGGATATTCTTTCTAAAAATCCCTCTTGTTCTTCTCGTGCAGAACCTGTACCTTTTCCTGGCCCAGCCGAACTGCCTGGTCCATCTGGACCTGTCCGGGACAGACTGCACCGTGGACTCGGTTTGTACTCACCATCTTTGTTGCAGTCACGATCCTCCCATAGCTGTCTGATCTCATCTTCAGGATGGGATTCAGGCCAAGAAACAGAAAGGGGGAAGCGTCCTGAATATGAATCGCCCGACACACAAACACAATGTTAGCTCAGTTGACTCACAGTCTTTCTCCTCTATGCATAATGCTTTGAGTGATGTTAAAAGCTTTTGGAAGAAGCTACAATACAAATGTATATCCTCTTATGAATTATACAAATGATACATTGTATAAAGAGCATACAGGATCCTTTTTGTTGCATGCATTTATTCACATCCTTGTCACTTCACAGGGATGACTTTGTCTGTGTTGGTTACTGTTTCTAAATTTAGCATATCTGCTTGTGTGACAAAACGCTGTCTTGCCGCATTAGCAGAAACGCTAACAGCTGAAAGGATGACAGAGCCTTCTCTCTGAGAGAGTTCAGTGACCGCACTCGGATGTGTCTGCCCCTGCTGGTTACTGCTGAGATGGCAGTTCTGCCTGTTTAGCTGTGAATATATAAGACTCAGTGTAAAAATGTTGTTTATGACTTCTCTCAGGAGGATTTTTAGAGTCGTCCCTCCCTCTGGAAGATGTAGTGGTTGGGGAAAAGTGCAGGCTGAATTGAAGCTCACATTTATAGTTTATGTCCAACCTTTGCTGTTCTGTCAGTTCTGTACTACTGCTGACATAATGATGTGCAGTAGAGGCATGCAAGGATGGAGAGAGAGTTTTTCTTGTACCTGAGCTCAGAGTGAGGGAGGAATCTCCTCTGAGCTCTTCTCCTGCTCTGTGACTTCAGCAGGCTGGGGGCTTGCTGTCATTGTGGTCATCTCACAGATGGAGTGTATTTTCAAGACTGCAGGTCTAGGACCAAAACTTTAATAACATTGCTGATTCAGTATTGTTTTCACCCATGGGGAGGAATTCAACTTACTGACGTGAAATCAAGTTATTCACTCTTTTGAAGATTTTTCTTCTTCTACAAAACACCATGTCAGCTGTTCAGAGAGAAATACTTCCAACTCTCAGGTCATTGTATTCAATAATTAAGTCCTAAAGGTAACAGACTGTCAAAAGAATACTTTTTAAAATCTCAATCAATCATTCAATTCCAATAGTTAATCACGAATAATCACATTTTAATCACATGTTTGAAAATCTATTATTTTAGGGACTGTCAGCTTTTTCTTGTCTTAAATTAATGCATACACTATTTTGTCCCTTTAGGCGCACCGTGGATAAGCCTCCGCAGCGTCTCCCCGAAGTCACAGTGATGGAAAAGTATTAGATTGTTTAATCTTTGAATGTCTCATTTCGCTTCAAAAAACTTCCAGACAACTCAGTTGATGAGTTAAAAGTAATATCTACTTTATAACATAACAAATAAAATATTTCCCAGTTATACTTTAACTTTGAGCAGTTTTCAGTAAGTTTTTCAGGGTAACGAGTTCCTTTTTCCGTGGTTAGGTCCATGTTGTAACCCTCAATCTACCAGAAAGTCCTTACATCATTTCATGTTGGCTTTCATTTAGAACTGTGTACTGTCTTAAGCTGATGGTACTTTACTTTCTGTTTCAATACAACCCCTGAAAAGTCAAATAAACAGCTAAAGAGATGAAATGATGGATGTTACTTTTAACTCGTCAACTCAGCTGTCTGGAAGTTTTTTTTTTAATGCAATAAGACATTCAAAGGAGCTGTGATGTTGTTATTTTCCATCTCTGTGACTACAGGGAGAAGCTCAGAGGCTTGGCTACGGTGTGCCTTTAAGGGACAAAATAGCAGGCAATTAATGCAATGAAAACAAATTTAATGCATTATTTTAAGACCTAAATCGCAAAATGTGTAATACGCTAATATTGACAGCCGTCATTAAAATCTAAGAATTCTACAATTCTAATGGGATTGTATCAAACTCTTTTAAAATGCTCATCAACTAGTTTCAATATGTCTCTGTAGTTCTGCAACCTGCCACTCTGTCAAATACATCTGATTTTTACAGACTACGTATGTGAAATAACAGTTGTTTTACATTGCAGCGGAATACTGATCCACACTGCTGTGCTAACCTTGTTGAGAAGCACATTGTGTTTCCCGCTGCACATAAAAGCCACTCTGTGTTTTGCTTGTAAACTATGAGCAGCGAGAATGATCAGCTTGCATTAGCAGTAATTTCATACAGCTCTGAAGCAGCTTTGTCGAAACAGTGAGGCTAATATCAATGAGATACAATTACAAACACTACTGGGTTACATTCAAGCGCTGTTCACTGTGAGTCTATTTTTGTGTGAAGGCAGTTTAAATCCAGAGTGTAAATGACTGACTCTGCCGCTTACAATGCAAACCAACCAACATCTGTAGATGTAGTAATTCAATGTAAATTTATTAAATGGCAGTTTTTTAAAATTAGGACCACAAAGAGTATTAAAGCTGAAATGTTTCAAGACGATTTGAACTAGGAGAATGATGAATTTCCCTGTACTCTATAAAGTAGCTTTATCTTGATCAAGTGCTGCAAAAATCCAAAACCTAATTTTACTTGTATTACTTAAATTTAAACTTTACAAGATTTTACATGAAGAACTCTTACTTACTTATTATAGAGATGTATTTGATGTTTCTTCATTATATCTTTTAATAAAATTAAGGATCAGAGTGCTTCCACTCTGTAATTTTTCTTGATCAAATTCCTTCAAACTGTGCATGTGTTTGCTGTCTTTTCTTGCTGTACTTCACTCGAGTAGTTTTAAACCCCTCGGAGCAGCCAGCATCTCAGGCCGGTATCTGTTTCAGGAAGTAATAGTCTAGCACATGAAACTCATCCTCCTCCTTCCGCCCCGTAAATGTGGGCCATGAATTTAGTATTGAATTATGTGCATGAATGGGAATCATTGCATACGTTCTGCTTTGTTTGCAAGTTCTCAAACATCGTCTCTTTTAAAACATCCCCTTGACATTAAGGGAGGACTCTCTGTGATACCTGCTATATCCTGTTTTTTTCTAATTGTCATCTATCCTTTAGAGAGGAACTGTCTGAGGGAGAATCTGTCTTTTTTAGTGTAGGCCTGTTGGATTGAATTATTAATAAGTTCCTGTTTTAATCTGCGCTGATGTTCCAACGATGGTCGATTAGTCAGTTTGCGTGATGGATCACTCTGCCAGAGAAAAATTGATCTGTCCGATGGTTTAACCTCTCTGGAGTGATGAGATTCCACTTAAAGGCTCACCAGAAATTAGGTTTTGATGCCAATTTATTTGAGCCTAGAGCATTCTCCTGTCCAACAAACACACATTTGTCACCTTTTATTTCAAGATTAATTAGTCAAACATTTCCCAGGTATTCATTTAGGTGATTTTTAAAGGCCCTGAAGTTTGAAAGTGAGCCATATCGTCACAAGATGAGAGGTGATTGGATATGCACTTTGATGAATGATAGATGAATGGCTGCATGATGTACATTGATCATAAAAGCAGGGAAACTAGATGACAGAATAATTGATATTATTCAAAAAGGTTTGAGCATCTTTCTCCTATCTTTAATGTGAAACTTGACATTTGATAGATATCCTACATAACAGATTGAGGGATGTAAGTAATTCATTTTTTTCTCATTTGGTTTCAGCTCCACTTTGATTCAGTGTAATAGAATTACACTTCTTATTGCTCGTTTGCTCCTGCTATCGGAAATCAGTAGACTCTCCCTGGCAGATGAGCACTTTCTGTACATACTTAAAAAGAAAGAAAGAGAGACAGACATTTTCTACAGATCTGTCTATAATGTTGCATTTAGCTGCTGGAGCTAAAGGGTGAAAAACCCTAAAATGGCCTATATCATTGTATTGATTGTTTTTTGTTTTGATTTGCTTTTGACACAGTTGATCTTGGTCTCCTCATTAAGACACTCTGTTACATTCAGTTTGACTCCATCACTTCCAAATGGTTCCAGGATTACCTTTCTGACACAACAGTGTGTCAAAGCTAGATATATTCAATCGAGTTTCTATTAGGTCCCGACCGATACGCAATTTTTGGGGCCAATACAGATATCGGGTAGAATAAATATTCTGATGCTGATATATCCACGGATATATTTTTTAGATCTATCGTTGATCTTAAGAGATCTGTTGATATAGACATACACACGCCTTTATTGCGTTGATCCCTCAAATGCTGTTACAAAACAGTTGTGAAAAAGATTTATCATCAGGACAAGATTTTTGTTAGTCTTTGTTGGCCAGAATAACATAATTGACTGAACCACAAATGTTTACTTAAAGTTGAACATTTATTAGAAAAAAAAATAAAATAAAAAAATAAAATAAAATAAATATATATATATGTATATATGTATGTATATATATATATGTATGTATATGTATATATGTATGTGTATATATATATATGTATGTATATATATATATATATATATATATATATGTATGTGTATATATATATATATATATATATATATATATATGTATGTGAACTGTTTACAGGCCAATCAGGCTCTAGTTTCAATTATTAAAAAAAGGTGTTCCGCAAGAATCAGTTGTGGGCCCCATCTTATTTACAATCTACTACAATTATATTATTCCTTCTATAGCAGACTGAAAGATTCATCTTTATGGCGATAATGTTATTCTACATTAATCTGCTAACCCTAACTTGCTGTAAAGAAGCTTCCACTTGCTTTAATAATCTTAAGAATGGATTTATCACCTGCAAACGTTATCTTTATTTCAGCTGATTTCAAATTATTCTTTATTCATCAAATTCATAATATTCTTCAAATCCAGAGATATAGATGTTAACAGTCTACAGTTATCCACTCTCAATGGTAGCAGTTTTGAAATGATCACAGTTGACATATATATTGTTATTTGGCTCGATGAATCATTGAAGCCCAACATTGAAAATCTCACAGGAAAACTTTAACAGAAAATCAGTTTCTGTATAGTAATAGATTTAAGTTCCCTGTTTATTGCAGTTAAAGTATCATCGATGCAGTCTTATTGTCTCAGATTTGGTTGATTCTTTGCAGCTATGCTGCTCCTAACCCCCTATAATCCCTAGACTCAGTTCATCACTCTGCTCTTAGATTCATAAACCGTGGATCCTTACAACACTCATCATTGCATTCTGTTTAACAAAGTGGCTTGGTCTTCTTTGGCACAGAGGCGTGAGAAACACTTGTCTTTGTATCTATAAATCCCTAATGGGACTTTCACCATCTTACATAACATCTATGCTGTACTGGTCCACTGGACCCAACCAAAATCGCTCTACTGACTAACTAATGCTTCAAGTCTCGCGGGTTTAAAATGAACTTGGAAAACCCGCATTTTGCATTTTATGCTCTACAAATGTTGAATAATTTACAACACAGTCTCAAGATTGACACTGTTGTTTCTCTTGCACAATTTAAGACACTGAGATCTCAAACCACTTCAGTGTGTCACGTCAATGTTACTGAGGGAAACCTCAAGTATTTTCGAGGCCTAACTTCATCAAGGTTCATGTAAAAGCTGTCCGTAGAATGCAGTGGAGTAAAACCTACCCTCTGAAGAGAGTGGAGTAGAAGTTTAAATTTACCTCTAATAATCACCGTTGAATTGTGCTGAAGTACAGTATTTGAGTAAATGTAATCCTCCACAGCTGCATCCACTGAACACAGCCAAAGTCTAGACACCAAGTCAATGAGTACTTAGCCAAATCCCCTTATCAGTGTTTTCCAGTGAAAGTGAGACACCACAATTTGGACTCTCGGATGAAAAAGCATTTTATGGTTACAGCTTTGCTTCAGCGCACACACTTATAGAGTACCATTTTATCAAGTATGTAGCTACAGCAGATTACGTGCATGACGTCGGGACAGATTTGTGTCTGTGTTTATTTTCACCTTCTGAAACTTACCTTGATTTAACTCAGATGTTTACATGTCTTTTTGCTGTCTCATATTACAGACGCTCAACACGCTTGAATGAGATGGTTTAGGCTTTAAAGATATTAAAAAGTAATTTTTTATTATTTTTCAGAAGCCTAAGCATGACAGGCCAAACACGGACCAAAAAAATCCTGTAAAAGATTGAAAAAATAAATGTTGTCCTGATTTGTCACCAGCTGTAGTATTTCTTTTTGGATTGGCTCATTTCCCCTCACACAAATCTGCAGCATCAGGCTTCTATGAAATTCTCAGTGTTAATGCTGTCTATAATGCTAGTGTGACACATTTGGGGTTATTTTTACTAAGGAGGCTTTGGCAAAAAAAAAAAAAAGAAATACGCTCGCATCAATTTTTCATGTTGCTCGAGACCGTGTCGGGTTAAATCTCTACTACAACCATTTGTGCAGCGTTCAGGAGCCAAAATAACTGTTATACAACACACTCGCATCCTGTGTGAGTGAACATAACTCTACCCGTTTGTCTCTGTGTTTCTCTGCCAGTTGTTTGGGGCGTTGCTGCGAGGCTGCTGCGCTGACCTCTCCTACCTGAACCTGTCCAAGAACTCCTTCTCTCACAGGTGGGCGCTCACTTTTACGTGTAAAAAATCTCTGATGCAGCTTTTTTGTCTTCTCTCTTTTTTTTTTTTCCTCCTTCTGACTCAGCCAAACGGCTCTGGAGGAATTCCAGTGAGGTGGCTCCGAGCAGAGCGAACATCATCATTTATTTTCTGCTGTAGATTAGTGTTTAGCCCTGGACCTCATTGACGTAATTAGCGTGCACACTCTGCTCGCTCTCCTCTCATTTGTTCTGGCTCACAGCTTATGTGTGTCTGTGTGTGTGTGTGTACAGGATGTGTTTCAGTCTTTTGTCTTCATGTACACATCTCTGTTTGCTAACAAGTTTTTCCATCTGTCAAGCAGTTGTTAGCATGCCCACAAGTCTTTTTTTGTGCATGTTAGGAAAAGTATGTGTGTGGGTGTATTGATGTGTGTTACCTAGCTAGCAGGCAGATAGCGTCTCCAGCTCTCATCATGTCAGTTCCCCCAAGAGCCTGGGAGCTTCCCTGCTCAGCATAATACATTACACAATAACAGAGAGAGAAGTTGATGAAAAATGAGACTAATTTTAGACAGGAAGGGAATTGTTGTTCTAATCCCCAGGCTCACACGCTTGCATTTTTTTTCCCTTGCTCTGTCTGTTTCCTTGTATCTACTGTATCTCTCAATCCATCTTCTACTGTTTCCCTGTCTATCTGCACTCCCCATTGACTTTTTCCACATTTTTTCTTCATTTTCTATTCTAATGATGAGAGTTTTTGCTCACGTTGGATCTATTGCACACATGTCTTTTCTAACAGCGAGATTAAATTTCCCAGCGTTCTGCTCTCCTTTACGAGGAGGCATCCATGCTCGATGCTGATCTGTCTTGTGTGTCTGGTTTCTATCTTTCCGTCTCTGCTCTCTTCCTGCTTAATGCCTCCTTCTTCTCTTTCCTTATAAATCACTCTCCTCCCTGTCTAGTTATTCCAGCTTTCATCCTCTTTCTGCTTGTACCCTTTGCATCCCTTCCATCCCCCCCCCCCCTTTCATCTTTCTGTTCATAATCCGTCCCGCCTCCTGTTGGTCATGACTTCTCCTGGTAGTAAATGCACGCCGGCTCAGTGCTGCCGGCTCAGTGCTGCCGGTCAGACGGCCGCTGTGTTGTGGTGTCAACACGGA